AGAGTATCGAAAAAGTCAAAAGGACATAAGAGAAAGTTGAGATGAAAAAGAGTTAATTATCAAATAACCTTAAAATCATACCTGCAGTCTTTCGAGCAGTAGTATGTATAGCAGTGCTTACATGTGACATACTGTAGTCGAGCCAAACTCAATTCGCGCGTTTTATGGCAACATGAGCATCGTACAAATAATTGCTCAGACTAGAAATAGGAAAAGGCTATGCAGAGTATACAATGTAACGAAATCTAAGTGATATCAACCTTAAGTAATGACTCTGCTTTGCTTGGCTGCTTTATCACTTGTTCCATAAGCATGTAATTCCCCGTGTAGATTCCAGGACCTGACTCGCTTTTACGAGGAATGTCAGTTTCTGTTATGCTAAATTGATAAATATAGTTCGCTTGAGATGTCTTCAGCAGATGTCTAAAATCTTTTTTCTTCTCAGTTAAAGCAAAAGTGTTTAATGTGTTTTTATTCAATAGCTTCAATAGCTTTAAACATGGCGATATCAAACCCTAAATGGATGAACCTTGTGTCTGGATAAGCGGTAGTGGAAGTAGACGTCTGTTGGAATATGGAATCTAACACCTCTTCAATCGTTATTCTTCCTCCATCCTGGGTAGGAGCATTACCTAAAAAATGTTTTACGCTTCAATGTTTCATTTCAAGTGAGTTTAGTTTAATATTTGTTTTGATCACTCAATATGATGTACACTTTTAAAGATAGCGTTATATTATGGAAAACTTCCATACCACATTGTTCACATCATTTGTATGCAACGAAGGTTAATATATGCTATTTTTGCCCTAATCAGCTTCATAACCTCCGCTTTTAGAAAAATGAACATTGCCGACAATTTCGCAACAATTCAGTTAGCAACAACTTTTGAAGAAGTCAATAACTCACTTCAGTAGGAGATCACTATACTTTCCAATATTAAATTTCTCATATACCAACTGATACTTACGTTTGATAGATCGAGATGTTTGGTCTTTTAAGACCTTAGTCATGGTCTGTGCAATCGTACA